TTATTGTAATGAGATTGTTGTACGGGTTGCTGTTAGGAGATTGATGTACGGGTTACTGTAAGGAGACTGAGGTATGGGTTATTGTAGGGAGACTGATGTACGGGTTACTGTAGTGAGACTGATGTACGGGTAACTGTATGGAGACTGATGAACCGGTTACTGTAAGGAGACTGATGTACGAGTAACTGTAAAGAGACTGATGTAGGGGTTATTATAAAGATACTTATGTACGGGTTACTGTAATGAGACTGATGTACGGGTAACTGTCGTGAGACTGATGTACAGGTAACTGTATGGAGACTGATGTACGGGCTACTGTAAGGAGACTGGTGTAATGGTTAATGTAAAGAGACTGATGTACGGGTTATTATAAAGATACTTATGTATGGGTTATTGTAAGGAGACTGATGTACGAGTTACTGTAAAGAGACTGATGTACGGGTTATTATAAAGATACTTATGTACGGGTTACTGTAATGAGACTGATGTACGGGTAACTGTCGTGAGACTGATGTACTGGTAACTGTATGGAGACTGATGTACGGGCTACTGTAAGGAGACTGCTGTAATGGTTAATGTAAAGAGACTGATGTACATGATACTGTAGTGAGACTGATGTACGGGTAACTGTATGGAGACTGATGTACATGATACTGTAGTGAGACTGTTGTACGGGTAACTTTATGGAGACTGATGTACCTGTTACTGTATGGAGACTGATGTACGGGTTACTGTAAGGAGACTAATGTACGGGTTACTGTATGGAGATTGATGTACGGGTTACTGTAAGGATACTGATGTACGGATTACTGTGAGGAGACTGATGTACGGGTTACTGTAAGGAGAGTGATGTATGGGTTACTGTAAAGAGACTTATGTACGGGTAACTGTAAAGAGACTGATTTACGGGTTACTGTAAAGAGACTGGGTACGGTTACTGTAAGGAGACTGGTGTACGGGTTACTGTATGGAGACTGTTGTACTGGTTACTGTATGGAGATTGATGGGAAACTGTAATGAGATTGACGTATGGGTTATTGTAGGGAGACTGATGTACGGGAGACTTTAAGGAGACTGAGGTACGGGGTGGGGAACTGTATGGAGACTGATCTACAGGTTACTGTTAGCGGACTGATGTACGGGTTAGTGTAAGGAGACTGTTGTACGGGGTTATTATAAAGAAACTTATGTACGGGTTACTGTAATGAGACTATGTACGGGTTACTGTAGTTAGACTGATGTACGGGTAACTGTCGTGAGACTGATGTACGGGTAACTGTATGGAGACTGATGTACGGGATACTGTAAGGAGACCGACGTACGGGATACTTGAAGGAGACCGATGTACGGGTTACTGTATGGAGACTGATGTACGGGATACTGTATGGAGACTGATGTACGGGATACTGTAAGGAGACTGAGGTACGGGTTACTGTAAGGAGACTGATGTACGGGATACTGTAAAGAGACTGATGTACAGGAGACTGTAAGGAGACCGATGTACGGGATACGGTAAGGAGACCGATGTACGGGTTACTGTAAGGAGACTGAAGTACGGGTTACTGTATTGAGACTGATGTACGGGTTACTGTAATGAGACTGATGTACGGGTTACTGTAATGAGACTGATGTACGGGTAACTGTCGTGAGACTGATGTACAGGTAACTGTATAGAGACTGATGTACGGGCTACTGTAAGGAGACTGATGTAAGGGTTACTGTACTTATGTATGGGTTATTGTAAGGAGACTGATGTACGGGTTACTGTAAGGAGACTGATGCACGGGTTACTGTAAGGAGACTGATGTACGGGTTACTGTAGTGAGACTGATGTGCGGGTAACTGTATGTATGGGTTATTGTAAGGAGACTGATGTACGGGTTACTGTAGTGAGACTGATGTGCGGGTAACTGTATGTATGGGTTATTGTAAGGAGACTGATGTACGGGTTACTGTAAAGAGACTGATGTTTGGGTTACTGTAAAGAGACTGATGTACAGGATCCTGTAAAGAGACAGATGTACGGGGCAATGCTAAGAGACTGCTGTACAGGTTACTGTAAGGAGACTGTTGTACGGGTTACTGTAAAGAGACTGAGGTTTGGGTTACTGTAAAGAGACTGATGTACAGGATCCTGTAAAGAGACTGATGTACGGGGTAATGCTAAGAGACTGATGTACAGGTTACTGTAAGGAGACTGTTGTACGGGTTACTGTAAAGAGACTGATGTACGGGCTACTGTAAGGAAACCGACGTACGGGATACTGCAAGGAGACCGATGCACGGGTTACTGTAAGGAGACTGATGTACGGGCTACTGTAAGGAGACTGATGTAAGGGTTACTGTAAAGAGACTTATTTACGGGTTACTGTAAGAAGACTGATGTACGGGTTACTGAAAGGAGACTGTGTACTGGTAACTGTATGGTGACTTATGTACGGGCTACTGTAACGAGACTGATGGACGGGTTACTGTAAGGAAACTGATGCAGGGGTTACTGTAAGGAGACTGATGTAAGGGTTACTGTAATGAGATTGTTGTACGGGTTACTGTAAGTAGATTGATGTACGGGTTACTGTAAGGAGACTGATGGACGGGTTACTGTAATGAGATTGTTGTACTGGTTACTGTGAGACTGATGTATGGGTTATTGTAAGGAGATTGATGTACGGGTAACTGTCGAGAGACTGATGTACTGGTAACTGTATGGTGACTTATGTACGGGCTACTGTAAGGAAACCGACGTACGGGATACTTGAAGGAGACCGATGTACATGATACTGTAAGGAGACCGACGTACGGGATACTTGAAGGAGACCGATGTACATGATACTGTAAGGAGACCGACGTACGGGATACTGCAAGGAGACCGATGCACGGGCTACTGTAAGGAGACTGATGGGCGGTTTACTGGAATGAGATTGTTGTACGAGTTACTGTGAAGAGACTGATGTACGGATTACGTTAGGGAGACTGATGTACGGATTACTGTATGGAGACTGAGGTACGGGCTACTGTAAGGAGACTGAAGTACGGGGAACTGTATGGAGAGTGATGTACGGGTTACTGTAAGAAGACTGATGTACGGGATACTGTAAAGTACTGTAAGGAGACCGACGTACGGGATACTTGAAGGAGACCGATGTACGGGTTACTGAATGACGACTGATGTACAGGTAACTGTATGGAGACTGAGGTACGGGCTACTGTAAGGAGACTGAAGTACGGGTTACTGTAGTTAGACTGATGTACGGGATACTGTAAGGAGACCGACGTACGGGATACTGCAAGGAGACCGATGCACGGGCTACTGTAAGGAGACCGACGTACGGGATACTTGAAGGAGACCGATGTACATGATACTGTAAGGAGACTGAGGTACGGGCTACTGTAAGGAGACCGACGTACGGGATACTGTAAAGTACTGTAAGGAGACCGACGTACGGGATACTGTAAGGAGACTGATGTAAGGGTTTCTGTAATGAGAATGTTGTACAGGTTACTGGATGGAGATTGATTTAAAGAAACTTATGTACGGGTTACTGAATGACGACTGATGTACAGGTTACTGTGTAAGGAGACTGAGGTACGGGTTACTGTAATGAGAGTTATTGTAAGGAGATTGATGTACGGGTTACTGAATGACGACTGATGTACAGGTAACTGTATGGAGACTGAGGTACGGGCTACTGTAAGGAAACCAACGTACGGGATACTGTAAGGAGACTGAAGTACGGGGAACTGTATGGAGAGTGATGTACGGGTTACTGAATGACGACTGATGTACAGGTTACTGTATGGAGACTGATGTGACTGTTACTGTATGGAGACTGATGAACCGGTTACTGTAAGGAGATTGATGTACGGGTAACTGATTGGAGACTGATGTACAGGTTACTGTAAGGAAACTGATGCAGGGGTTACTGTAAGGAAACTGATGCAGGGGTTACTGTAAGGATACTGATGTACGGGTTATTATAAAGATACTTATGTACGGGCTACTGTAACGAGACTGATGGACAGGTTACTGTAAGGAAACTGATGCAGGGGTTACTGTAAGGAAACTGATGCAGGGGTTACTGTAAGGATACTGATGTACGGATTACGTTAGGGAGACTGATGTACGAGTTACTGTAAAGATACTGATGTACGGGTTACTGTGAGTAGATTGATGTACGGGTAACTGATTGGAGACTGATGTACAGGATCCTGTACAGAGACTGATGTACGGATTACGTTAGGGAGACTGATGTACGAGTAACTGTAAAGAGACTGATGTACAGGTTACTGTAATGAGATTGTTGTACAGGTTACTTTAAGGAGAGTGATACACGGGTTACTTTAAGGAGAGTGATACACGGGTTACTGAAAGGCGACTGATGTGTTGGTCAGGTAGTTCAAGGATAAAACTGCTACCATGTTCACATTTTGGTGATGTTTAGGTTCCGTATGTACACACTGCAATGGGCTGTGTAAACATCTTACAGTTACAATAGTAGACACGTACAGCCGACCTATTGTCGTGAAATACACGTGTCAATATTGACACGACAAACTCTCAATGTGTTGGTTATTACGGTGTGTAAATATTATGTCAGACAAGTGAGAAAAAGGACTCCAGAGTCCCGTATACATGTATAGTACGTGAATGGGTTATTTCCTATTACGACAACCCGGTTACATAACACACGAGCCAGACCTTCCTCAATGTTTCTTGTTGATTCTTAGTGGCTGGTACCCATATCTAATGAGCGGAATTAAATGCTGTGCTAGGTCTTGGTCCGAACCGACGACTTTCCCTGCTGTTAAGTACTTTAGTCCGGGGCTCTGGGACTTTCCTATTATTAAGTGTAATGGTCTTGATTTGCCGTTGTCGAGTCGATTTTTGGACCTACTGGGACTTTTCTGTTGCTGTTTCTGAATTGTTTTGGCACGGGGCCAACGCTTTCTTGTTTTTGATTCTGTAAGATCTTGATCAGAGTCTTAAGTCTTTCCTGAAGTTAATTACCTAAAGATCTCGGTCCGGGTCCTGATCTGTTATTGAGTCTTAAAAGTCCAGGTCTGGGACCTGATCTGTTATTGAGTCTTACAGATCTTGGTTCAGGACCTGATCTGTTATTGAGTCTTACAGATCTTGGTTCAGGACCTGATCTGTTATTGAGTCTTACAGATCTTGGTTCAGGACCTGATCTGTTATTGAGTCTTACAGATCTTGGTTCAGGACCTGATCTGTTATTGAGTCTTACAGATCTTGGTTCAGGACCTGATCTGTTATTGAGTCTTACAGATCTTGGTTCAGGACCTGATCTGTTATTGAGTCTTACAGATCTTGGTTCAGGACCTGATCTGTTATTGAGTCTTACAGATCTTGGTTCAGGACCTGATCTGTTATTGAGTCTTACAGATCTTGGTTCAGGACCTGATCTGTTATTGAGTCTTACAGATCTTGGTTCAGGACCTGATCTGTTATTGAGTCTTACAGATCTTGGTTCAGGACCTGATCTGTTATTGAGTCTTACAGATCTTGGTTCAGGACCTGATCTGTTATTGAGTCTTACAGATCTTGGTTCAGGACCTGATCTGTTATTGAGTCTTACAGATCTTGGTTCAGGACCTGATCTGTTATTGAGTCTTACAGATCTTGGTTCAGGACCTGATCTGTTATTGAGTCTTACAGATCTTGGTTCAGGACCTGATCTGTTATTGAGTCTTACAGATCTTGGTTCAGGACCTGATCTGTTATTGAGTCTTACAGATCTTGGTTCAGGACCTGATCTGTTATTGAGTCTTACAGATCTTGGTTCAGGACCTGATCTGTTATTGAGTCTTACAGATCTTGGTTCAGGACCTGATCTGTTATTGAGTCTTACATCTAGGTCCGGGATCTTGGAATATTGTTGTTGCTTAGTCATTTAAGGTCTTGTTCTCAGGAGACTAAGATATCATTTTGTTGAGTTATGAAAAGTCTTGGTGCATGACCAGGGATTTTTTTTTATGTTTTTGTTTTTATCAATCAAAGGTCTAAGGCCTTGTCTTGGAGTTCCTATTATTTAGCAATTAAAGGTCCAGGGCCTGATCTGAGATTTCCTATTGTTGAGCAATTAAATATCTAAGGCCTGGTCAGGGATTTCCTTTTGTTTTATGCAATCAAATTTCTAGGGATGGGGCTGTTATTTCCTTTTGTTTAGCCTTTAAAGGTCTAGGGAGGGGCTTGGATCTCCTTTTCTTCAGCAATTGAAGGTCGAAGGCCTGGTCTGGGTTTTCCTGTTGTTTAGCAATCAAGGTCTAGGGCCTGGTCTTAGATTTTCGATTGTTAAGCAATTAAAAGTCTAGTGATGGGGCTCGGATTTCCTTTTGTTGAGCCTTTAAAGGTTTAGGGTCGGAACCCGTGGTATGTACTGTTTTTGAATCTTTAAAGTCTTGTTACGGGGCTGGAATTTCCTATTGTAGAGTCATGGATCTTTGTACGGAACCTTGACGTCTTGGGACGGGATCGGTTAAATGTTTTAATCCGGGATCTGTTGGCTTTCTGTTTCTTTACGTGTGATTTTTCAGAAAGTATGAAATTTGCCTTTGTCGGGTCTTTACTTTGGGTCTTCGTTCGAGCACTGGGCTTTACATATGTATTGTGAAGACTTTACCTTTTTGTCAGGTCTTTTAGCCTTGAGTTGCTAGAATTTTGTTCATCATATGTCTAGGTCCTAGAATTAGGCTATCAAAGATATTTGTTCTAGCGTTGTTTTATCCAATGCTCCTTCAGAAAAAGTGTCATTTCCTTTTTTTTTTTTTTTTTTTAATAAACCCAACATGCCGGAACTTCCGTTCCTAGGACAAAAATCGATGCTGTACTTCATTTATTTGGTTTGGTGTCCTTCTGGTTTCTTGATTTTAGTAATCCTACATGGTAACTGTTTGCTCTTTCCTGTTCATTTGATGTTCCCAAGAGCTGACAAGAGAGGGCTTAAATGCTTGTTTAGATTGTAAATAATGTACATTTGTGTTTCTATTGTTTTGTAAATAATCTTTCGTCTGGTTTGTTTGTGTTTTAAGTCCTATCATTTAAAGGCTTGTCAATGTTTGGTGTGGAGGAAAGCCAGATTACCGGAAGAAAAAACATCGACCCGCGGAGGTACATTTTTGTACTTGGCAACTGATTACTTATGTACAGCGTAACTACAAAAGTTCAAATATAAATTGATTGATTTTTTTAAAAGTCTGACAAGATTATATTTTATTTCATCTATATGCATCACATTGAAACGACATATAATAGACCAATAATTTGTATAATAAATCCTACATGAATCAAGCATGCTTACATTTGCACATGCGAGAACAAAGTGCTAACGCGTGGTTACATGTGTCTGCCATGTGAAATATTTTCAAAGAAAATTGACTGGCGTTATGTTAAAGAAACCTTACGCATTCAAAGGCGTTACTGCATTCAATAGATAAACTCTACCCTCGACACATTCAGACCGACAAAGGGCCAACTCACCCCCTGTCCTTATATCGGGGTGGTAGTTTTATTGCCCTACAAGTATACGAGTCAGCCACGCCTGTCAATGATTCCTCCTCATTAAAAATACATAAATCACGGGAGATAAGTTCAGCCACTTCTACTGTCTTTTGCAAGTCTTTTTTTTGCGTGAAACATATACTAGCATTAAACTTTTATCATGATTATCTTGATGATAAATTTGTTCCTTAATGACGCACTTTAAACAACTAAACCCGCCGTCGATAAAGCAAGCATACAGAGCTTGATTGCTCAGATACAAACAATTTTGACAGAACCTGGATCAAAAACATCTAAATTCGAGCTTGTGGTTCTACAGGCACGCTCGAAATTCTTATGTGATAAAAAGCATACATACGGCAAACCGATTTATATTTGAAATAGTATTACATGTGTATATATTTATATTATTTTGGGGATTTATATACCATAACCCCGAAGTTTTTTAATACCCTACTTGTAACTTCGATGTCTACATATATTTGCGGCCAGTCTATATTTCGGTAAAAGTTAATCTAGGGAATATCAGGACGAATATAGCCTTACGCGATTGCACCCCCCCCCCCCCCCCCCCCCCCCCCCCNAGGGAGGCGCAGTTCACCTAACTCTTTTCCTTTTAACAAACTTACGTTGTGCTCTATACGAAATTCTCAACGCATTTAAGTGTTGCTTTTTTAAAGGTTTGAAGTCATGCCTTTTCTTTACATACTTTTTTTCAAAGAGTTGCTGATGGAAAACTGTTTTTACATATTTTAAGTGTTACCAAAATCACTTTTGTTGGCCCGGATGTTAGCGCGCGGGAGGTCTTATTGTGGGAGGAAACCGGAGTACCCGGAGAAAACCCATGTAGTCGGGCAGGTAACCCCATACCTTTTCACGTCCGATCGGCGAATCGAACCCCGGCCGCCTTGGTGAAAGGCAAGTGGGCTATCCACTGCACCACCCGACCAAAATCGTTTCCACCGAGGGATACTGTCATAATAACGGTTATACATGGGAAAGGATACAATAACTCACATAGACTGAAAAGCCTGTCAATCTTGGATGATATTTTATTTTTGTGGAAAATATGACCAGGGAAACCCGAGCACAAGGGCCTAATAAAATTTCAAAGAAAAGTGAACAACCAAACACAATCAAATACGCTGTATGGGTGAGGATTAATGATATATATGGCTTTGGAAATTATGATGTTATGAAATATTATGCACGTGTACAAATAGGGAACTGGATGGGAACAGAAAGGGACAAATGGGGCTACCCATCTTATCATTGAAACGTTGAAATATTGAAATGAAATTGACAAAAGGTAGTAAAATCGTCCGTTTAAGTGATGTTTTGTGTGATTGTTTTGGTAACAGGCTTAGTTAATTTTCACATATTCTGCTGGTTTTTCCCCGAAATTTTACATGACATTGTTTGATGTTCAGAATTACATAAACACTTTTTTCAATGATCTGAACCGATTATTTCTTACAATGTAGGAAATCTTGTGTTTCATGAAGTGTTTTATGATTTAATCTATCGAACAAAACGTACGCACTCCGATTATTTTTAGCAAGCCCCGGTTTTGATTTAGTATTTTTTTCAATTTAAGAAAATCCTAAAGCGTAACATTTCATAGTCCTAACTATATGATAACTTAGTTTTTTAATTTGTATTTACTCTTGAAGCTTTGGCGCTAAAATAAACCCGTTTTAGATATAGATCAATATCCATCCTAGGGGATCAACTGTCTGTGGTTTATATATATATACGTATACTACCACATCGACAGTTCGTCGGTATACAAGCCTTTAAATAGCTTGTCAGGAATCAAATGCATTCGATAATTGCTCGCCAGAACTCCGACGTGTCAAACATATTGCTTGCCATAACTCCGACGTGTAATTCATATTGCCTGTCAGAACTCCGACGTGTAAGACATATTGCTTTTCAGCACTCCGACGTGTAAAACATATTGCCAGCACTCCGACGTGTAAAACATATTGCTTGCCATAACTCCGACGTGTAATTCATATTGCCTGTCAGAACTCCGACGTGTAAGACATATTGCCTGTCAGAACTCCGACGTATAAGACATATTGCTTGTCAGCACTCCGACGTATAAGACATATTGCCTGTCAGAACTTAGAGGTATTAGACAAATTGTTCACCAGAACTCCGACGTGTAATTCATATTGCCTGTCAGAACTCCGACGTATAAGACATATTGCCTGTCAGAACTCCGACGTATAAGACATATTGCTTGTCAGCACTCCGACGTGTAAGACATATTACTTGTCAGAACTCCGACGTGTAAGACATATTGCATGTCAGAACTCCGACGTGTAAGACATATTGTTCACCAGAACTCCGACGTGTAATTCTTATTGCCTGTCAGAACTCCGACGTGTAGGACATATTGCCTGTCAGAACTCCGACGTGTAATTCATATTGCCTGTCAGAACTCCGACGTGTAAGACATATTACTTGTCAGAACTCCGACGTATAAGACATATTGCTTGTTAGAATTGCTTGGAAGAGATTGTACAAATTAAAAAAAATCAGTGAATTATATTTTACTATTTTGACTTAAGTTTAAAACGGTTTACAACTTCCAACCGGATTTCTTAAACAGTCTACGTGTCGTGAATAATGGTGACGAAACAACAAGGAATACATACTCGATGCATTCTCACGGGAATTTGATAATTTGACGATCATTGACCTCGACCTTGACCTTCAGCAGTAGATTTAGAACGAGTTTACATAATGTCGATATCGGTTACTCTCCAGGTTATACAAGCTAAAATGAGTATCCTTTTCAAACTTATATTAGAACACAATAGTTCTCGTCCCTGTCTCTGTCCTCACTATTTACAGACGGAGAAATCGTTTCGATCTTCTGTCATTGTTCAAAATACCCTCTCCTTCCTAACCTACTTCAGACAGAAAGGCCAAAACAAAAAACAAGAAACATCAAAGAAGGAAAAACGTCCATCAACACAAAACGGTCACATTTAAAGGATTTCACTTTTTGTCAAAGTATAAAATAGATAAGGGATCGATTATTTTGGGGATTTTTTTACGTCTTTTTAACACTTTCTATGTCCTTTGATTATTGGAAAGGAATATGTTTCGTTATGTTTTTTTAGGAATGAAGTCGGGAGTAATGGATTATAGGTGACAGCTTGTGACGAGGTAGTTCTTTGTTGGTCTACAATCAAAATGTTAAGTCACAAAATTGGCGAAGAAAGGTTTAACAAAAAGGTGCTTCCTCTGGAAAGGGAGTCATGAAACAAAACTGACGTCATTATTGCATAATTTCGTTTTTCAAATCCTTCTAGTAAAACTGGACGTGTTATTCCTGTTTCCAGGGTAATACTTATATTTACTGTAGTAATTTTATCATAATATGTGCTGTGACATTGAGAAAACACGATAACATGACTTGTGTTGATTTGGAGTGTGCCGCTCAGTGCTAAAAGTGGCGATAGTTAATTTCATATAACCATGTCCACACATCGCCAACAACTAACAACCTTGAAATCTTATATGTGTGTTTTATATGTATCCTGTAGTGATAACGTCGATATGTCGGTCCCGCAATATAATTCTAACGATATTTTTTTTCCAGGTTCACTTTAAATTAGACATTTCATTTTTTATTTGACAATTTGAAAAGACACATTCCATGATCAAATATGAATATTATATATAAAATGATTGCGTTTCAGCTCTCAAGACTGAAATTCTCGGTCAAGTACAGTGACGCAACTGTCCTCAGCTTTATGTATTCTCCGATACCGGAAGTGACGTTTCAATGTGCAATAAATAACTTACACATATAATCAAAACAAATTTTGCTTTTAATGAAACGTAAATAAAATTAAGAAAATGACGTTGATAGAGATGCTAGATGAAAGAATTGTGAGTGTCTTGTTACTAAATAAAGGCGACAGAAGATGTACATATTTGGGGAAATAAGGGCAAAATGAGAAGTAAACCGACCGTACTGAACAACACATATCACACTCTACTGGCTGTACATGGCGTATGCACAAATCACGCGACACAAAATATGTCACATTTTACCGACCTATCACGGTACGAACGCGATACACGGAATACATATTTTAATCCCGCACATTCCATACACGTAGACACAAGACACGTTTCACAAAATACACCACACTCTACCATCTTACACAGCAAATAAACGACACCTTTGAAAACAACGTCGCACTCCACTGACCTTACACAAAAGATGCACGACACAAAATACGTCACACTCCATTGACCGTACACAGCAGATACACGACACAAAAATACGCCACACTCTACTGGCCTTAAACAGCAGGTACTCGACACACATACGTCAACCTCTACTGGTCTTAAATAGCAGAAACGCAACACAAAATACGTCACACTCTACTGACCTTACACAGCAGATACACGACACAAAATACGTCACCCTCTACTGTCCTTAAACAGCAGAAACGCGACACAAACTACACTCTACTGACCTTACACAGCAGATACACGACACAAAATACGTCACCCTCTACTGGCCTTAAACAGCAGAAACGCGACACAAAATACACTCTACTGACCTTACACAGCAGATAAATAATTCTCGGTACATAAAATACGCAATCATGCTTATGTCTTCTGCATTCTGAACAAATTAGATCCAATTAACTAAATTAGGGAGAAACTGCGGTACTCGTCGCCCGGTTGCGACGCGATATTTTCACACCAAAACATTATAGGTGATCCATAATGGTGGTGTGTGTATATGTAATGTATCTTCATACAATACAATACAAGTTATATGAATCAATAAACTTATAACTCAAAATTACTTGTTATTCGATGGTTTGACTCGTGTGCAGTTGCTGGCGTCTACCGTAGCGCTTTCGACGGCACGCGCTAATGTGCGACCGGACGAGAGGTTCTAGAAGAATTCGCTTATTCATCTCGAGCAAATGCTTTTGTATTGATTTAAGATACTTTGTTGTAAGATTATTCGACCATGTTTGTTGTGATATTTGTAATCTAAAACTTTCTGCTTATAGTTATATTTTTTGTGTAGTTTGGCATGCACGTTTGAATGGTATGTGCAAACATTTGACGTGCTTGCTTTACTGGAATATCCACTGCAACGTGAGATAGTACCGAGAACATGTTCACGCTTATCTCTCCAAGTTTGTCCTCCTGGCGTTTCGGCAGTATATCTCTGGCACACTTGCAGTAGACATTTTTATCACGCTCCTAAGTGACAAACTGGCTTCCTTTACATTATCTGATCCTGGAAACGTGTCGAAGCCAAGAAAACCGTGGCTATCTTGTTCAGTGCAGACACGTAATGAATGCCACCATCCAATGACAGACAGTAAGGGAAACTAGCTGACATAACACGTCATGTCTGCGACCTAGTTAAAGTAACCTACTAACGTGTATGTACGTACATCACTATAATGCCATAACGGACTTGCTGCTTACCCCAGGCGCACTCACAATCAGTACCGACACAAGTCTAGTTCGAAATACCCGCCACCTACTGGAACGGAGACAGCGCTACACGCTTTGTCCCATTTGTTATATATTGGACCGGTCACATGACACAACTTTATCGGGCCGGTCACATGACACAACTTTATTGGACCAGTCACCTGATACAACTCTTATCGGACCGGTCACATGACACAACTTTACTGGACCAGTCCCATGGCATAACTATCATTGGACGAGTCACATGGCACAACTCTCATTGGACCAGTCATACGACACAACTCTTCTTGCACCAGTCACATGAAACAACTCATGATTGACCAGTCACCCTACACAACTTTTTCTCAGGTCACATGACACAGCAATTGCCGGACCGGTCACGTGACACTGATGACGTAATATATGTGGACGATGATGCGATGATTACGATTTTGATGAGAGTAAAAGATGGTAGTGATCGTACAATGTACATTGATACAGGATTACTTGAACAGAATACAAAAAGCAATTTAACATATCATTTACAGGATGTTTTTATGAGATTTAAATAGAATAATGATGTCTTGTTGTCGATAATAATATCAAAATGAAACAAAAAACAATAAATTAGCAATAGCCTTATATATAAACTGCTTTCGACATTAAACTTCCTTCATCCAACGCTTCTTTAAAGCCTCGGTCTCGTATTTGGACTTGTCTTATCTGTGACGTCATAAGTCCAAAGCAGAAGTAGTCCGGCTTGTATTGTCCGCCCTCCGTTTTATTATCAATGTAGACACGAGCGTCATCACCGTAACGTTACACACTATAGGTACACAGAAAGCCGTAGCATCCCTGCATTACAGGTCTTCGTTCGGAATGCACTTAATGATCTTTCTATTGTCATTCGTTCAAGCATCGGGTCAGCTTATATTTCGAGACAAACTATCCGGATCAGGAATAATTCGCAGTTTCAGGACCCTTTCCGATTTTCCGGACTTCTGTGCGTCTAAAAAAGATTAAAAAAAAAAATAAAAATTTTTCTTATATATTGTTAAATAAATAAAACTCGTTAAAACAATGCAAGCATCACCTTATTTAAAAATTAACATATATGTAACAACGCGAAATCACCACTTACAACACGTAGTACCGTCACATAAACACTTACAACAACACAATACCGTCAAACCATCGCTTACAACAACACAATACCGTCAAACCATCGCTTACAACAACAAAATACCGTCATACCATCGCTTACAACAACAAAATACCGTCATACCATCGCTTACAACAACAAAATACCGTCATACCATCGCTTACAACAACAAAATACCGTCATACCATCGCTTACAACAACAAAATACCGTCATACCATCGCTTACAACAACAAAATACCGTCATACCATCGCTTACAACAACAAAATACCGTCATACCATCGCTTACAACAACAAAATACCGTCATACCATCGCTTACAACAACAAAATACCGTCATACCGTCGCTTACAACAACAAAATACCGTCAAACCATCGCTTACAACAACAAAATACCGTCAAAGCAATGCTTGCAACAACACAATACCGACAAAAAATATTTATATAAAAAAATGCTTGTATTTCATAGTAATTATGTTTGAATGTTTGGTAAATAAATAAATAATCAGTAACAGATTATACAGTCTCAAGTTATCTACTTTTTTGAGTTTGACTATAGCGATTACCTGTAATTAAGGCTATTGTTCTGCACTCAATACTAGTCTCACCTGGCCAACATGAAAATCTTACCTGTAGGTAACAAAATTACCAAATGTTGGCTAGGTGAGAAGACACCGACAAAATAACACATACAACAACGCTACATCGTCACACAAATACTTACAGAAACGCGATCCCGCCAAAGCGGCACTAACAATAGCGCTGTACACCACCAACTACACACTGACAACATCGCTGTACACCACCAGCTACACAATTACAACAGCGCTGTACACCACCAACTACACACTTATAACATCGCTGTACACCACCAACTACACACTTACAACAGCGCTGTACACCATCAACTACACACTTACCACATCGCTCTACACCACCAACTACACACTGACAACATCGCTGTACACTACCAGCTACACAATTACAACATCGCTGTACACCACCAACTACACACTTATAACAGCGCTGTACACCACCAACTACACACTTACAACAGCGCTGTACACCACCAACTACACACTTACAACAGCGCTGTACACCACCAAATACACACTAACAACATCGCTGTACACCATCAACTACACACTTACAATAGCGCTGTACACCACCAACTACACACTTACAATAGCGCTGTACACCATCATCTACATGTACACACTTACAACATCGCTGTACACCACCATCTAAACACTTAAAACATCGCTGTACACCATCAACTACACACTTACAACATCGCTGTATATCACCATCTACACACTTACCACATCGCTGTATACCACCATCTACACGATTACAACAGCGCTGTACACCACCAACTACGCACTTACCACATCGCTGTACACCACCAACTACACACTTACAACATCGCTGTACACCACTAACTACACACTAACAACAGCGCTGTATATCACCATCTACACACTTACAATAGCGCTGTACACCACCAACTACACACTTACAACAGCGCTGTACACCACTAACTACACACTAACAACAGCGCTGTACACCACCAACTACACACTAACAACATCGCTCTACACCACCAACTACACACTAACAACATAGCTGTACACCACCAACTACACACTTACAACAGCGCTGTACACCACCAAATAAACTCAACATGACACGTATCGCAATATATTTTGAACCGGTAGATGACGTTTCAGGCCACCAAATCGTAGAAGTTTCTATTCCCCTATAGCGTGTTGTATATACGTACTGTAAACATTTACTTTGTAATATCCTACGCTGGTCTTATATCGTCTTTGTTGTCGTCGTCGATGTTTCCTTCTCCTTTTCCTTCTGCATTTCTTGCATGTTTTGTTAAAAGCTCTTTTTCCTGAAAAACACAACATATGCATGTATTTACGCTTTTGAATAATTTTAAGGTATCAATGCAAGTAAAAATAGAAATAACATCATTTTTTCTTAATCTATGCATGGGGACAACGAATTAGAGAGAACAGCGTGTTTTCCAGGGAAAGCGGGAAACTTCCATTTGAGGTCCTAGCAACAGCCACAACAAATACAACAAAACGTAGTTCCATTTTCAAAATTTAATTTGTAGAATATTAAACTTAATTTCTTGTCATCATTTATTTTGAATATCTTCCTTTTATCTTTAACATGAATTATGTAATAATGTTTAATGTTCATTTATAGTACTGTAGCATAATGACAATGCTGTAAGGGCGGCTTCACGGCGGACGTTAAACTTTACGAAATGCGGCCAAACATTGTATCAATATGCATTGTGATGAGGTCATTTGTGTTGTACAAAGATAAATGTCATTTTCATGAATGGGTCAAAGCACACACCATGTAAATATTTACCTATCTACGACTTGTTTACACTATATACGATGTGGTTTACACACTGCACGGCATGGTTTAACTAGACAGGTACACGACACTAGACATGGAATTTCACTGCACTGCCGATGCTCTCTTATTGGAGCGAAAATATACAAGTCTCGTTTTAATCAAATTGGGATTAAAGTAGATGAAGTAGAGGTATAGATATATTTATTAAATACTAAGATCTTTTCCCGTGTCTGAAGGACTGGTGTTATAATCAAGTATAATGTATTGAATTGTTCGAAAAATCGACATTTTTAGTTTTAAAAAACCGACTGCCATTGTAATTTACGACTGTCATTGTTACTAACGACTGACATTGCTATTTACGTCTATTGATACTAACGACTGTCATTGTTATTTACGTCTATTGATACTTACGACTGTCATTGTTGATTACGACTGTCATTGTTACTAACGACTGTCATTGTTGATTACGACTGTCATTGTTACTTACTACTGTCATTGTTACTAACGACTGTCATTGTTACTTTCGACTGTCATTGTTACTTACGACTGTCATTGTTACTTACGACTGTAATTGTTACTTACGACTGTCATTGTTACTTACGACTGTCATTTTTACTTACTACTGTCATTGTTACTAACGACTGTCATTGTTACTTACGACTGTCATTGTTACTTACGACTGTCATTGTTACTTACGACTGTCATTGTTACTTACGACTGTCATTGTTACTTACGACTGTCATTGTTACTTACGACTGTCATTGTTACTTACGACTGTCATTGTTACTTACGACTGTCATTGTTACTTACGACTGTCATTGTTACTTACGACTGTCATTGTTACTTACGACTGTCATTGTTACTTACGACTGTCATTGTTACTTACGACTGTCATTGTTACTTACGACTGTCATTGTTACTTACGACTGTTATTGTTACTTACGACTGTCATTGTTACTTACGACTGTCATTGATACTTACGACTGTCATTGTTACTTACGTCTATTGATACTAACGACTGTCATTTTTACTTACGACTGTCAATGTTACTTACGACTGTCATTGTTGATTACGACTGTCATTGTTACTAACGACTTTTATTGTTACTTACGACTGTCATTGATACTTACGACTGTCATTGTTACTTACGACTGTCATTGTTACTTACGACTGTCATTGTTACTTACGACTGTCATTGTTACTTACGACTGTCATTGTTACTTACGACTGTCATTGTTACTTACGACTGTCATTGTTACTTACGACTGTCATTGTTACTTACGACTGTCATTGTTACTTACGACTGTCATTGTTACTTACGACTGTCATTGTTACTTACGACTGTCATTGTTACTTACGACTGTCATTGTTACTTACGACTGTCATTGTTACTTACGACTGTCATTGTTACTTACGACTGTCATTGTTACTTACGACTGTCATTGTTACTTACGACTGTCATTGTTACTTACGACTGTCATTGTTACTTACGACTGTCATTGTTACTTACGACTGTCATTGTTACTTACGACTGTCATTGTTACTTACGACTGTCATTGTTACTTACGACTGTCATTGTTACTTACGACTGTCATTGTTACTTACGACTGTCATTGTTACTTACGACTGTCATTGTTACTTACGACTGTCATTGTTACTTACGACTGTCATTGTTACTTACGACTGTCATTGTTACTTACGACTGTCATTGTTACTTACGACTGTCATTGTTACTTACGACTGTCATTGTTACTTACGACTGTCATTGTTACTTACGACTGTCATTGTTACTTACGACTGTCATTGTTACTTACGACTGTCATTGTTACTTACGACTGTCATTGTTACTTACGACTGTCATTGTTACTTACGACTGTCATTGTTACTTACGACTGTCATTGTTACTTACGACTGTCATTGTTACTTACGACTGTCATTGTTACTTACGACTGTCATTGTTACTTACGACTGTCATTGTTACTTACGACTGTCATTGTTACTTACGACTGTCATTGTTACTTACGACTGTCATTGTTACTTACGACTGTCATTGTTACTTACGACTGTCATTGTTACTTACGACTGTCATTGTTACTTACGACTGTCATTGTTACTTACGACTGTCATTGTTACTTACGACTGTCATTGTTACTTACGACTGTCATTGTTACTTACGACTGTCATTGTTACTTACGACTGTCATTGTTACTTACGACTGTCATTGTTACTTACGACTGTCATTGTTACTTACGACTGTCATTGTTACTTACGACTGTCATTGTTACTTACGACTGTCATTGTTACTTACGACTGTCATTGTTACTTACGACTGTCATTGTTACTTACGACTGTCATTGTTACTTACGACTGTCATTGTTACTTACGACTGTCATTGTTACTTACGACTGTCATTGTTACTTACGACTGTCATTGTTACTTACGACTGTCATTGTTACTTACGACTGTCATTGTTACTTACGACTGTCATTGTTACTTACGACTGTCATTGTTACTTACGACTGTCATTGTTACTTACGACTGTCATTGTTACTTACGACTGTCATTGTTACTTACGACTGTCATTGTTACTTACGACTGTCATTGTTACTTACGACTGTCATTGTTACTTACGACTGTCATTGTTACTTACGACTGTCATTGTTACTTACGACTGTCATTGTTACTTACGACTGTCATTGTTACTTACGACTGTCATTGTTACTTACGACTGTCATTGTTACTTACGACTGTCATTGTTACTTACGACTGTCATTGTTACTTACGACTGTCATTGTTACTTACGACTGTCATTGTTACTTACGACTGTCATTGTTACTTACGACTGTCATTGTTACTTACGACTGTCATTGTTACTTACGACTGTCATTGTTACTTACGACTGTCATTGTTACTTACGACTGTCATTGTTACTTACGACTGTCATTGTTACTTACGACTGTCATTGTTACTTACGACTGTCATTGTTACTTACGACTGTCATTGTTACTTACGACTGTCATTGTTACTTACGACTGTCATTGTTACTTACGACTGTCATTGTTACTTACGACTGTCATTGTTACTTACGACTGTCATTGTTACTTACGACTGTCATTGTTACTTACGACTGTCATTGTTACTTACGACTGTCATTGTTACTTACGACTGTCATTGTTACTTACGACTGTCATTGTTACTTACGACTGTCATTGTTACTTACGACTGTCATTGTTACTTACGACTGTCATTGTTACTTACGACTGTCATTGTTACTTACGACTGTCATTGTTACTTACGACTGTCATTGTTACTTACGACTGTCATTGTTACTTACGACTGTCATTGTTACTTACGACTGTCATTGTTACTTACGACTGTCATTGTTACTTACGACTGTCATTGTTACTTACGACTGTCATTGTTACTTACGACTGTCATTGTTACTTACGACTGTCATTGTTACTTACGACTGTCATTGTTACTTACGACTGTCATTGTTACTTACGACTGTCATTGTTACTTACGACTGTCATTGTTACTTACGACTGTCATTGTTACTTACGACTGTCATTGTTACTTACGACTGTCATTGTTACTTACGACTGTCATTGTTACTTACGACTGTCATTGTTACTTACGACTGTCATTGTTACTTACGACTGTCATTGTTACTTACGACTGTCATTGTTACTTACGACTGTCATTGTTACTTACGACTGTCATTGTTACTTACGACTGTCATTGTTACTTACGACTGTCATTGTTACTTACGACTGTCATTGTTACTTACGACTGTCATTGTTACTTACGACTGTCATTGTTACTTACGACTGTCATTGTTACTTACGACTGTCATTGTTACTTACGACTGTCATTGTTACTTACGACTGTCATTGTTACTTACGACTGTCATTGTTACTTACGACTGTCATTGTTACTTACGACTGTCATTGTTACTTACGACTGTCATTGTTACTTACGACTGTCATTGTTACTTACGACTGTCATTGTTACTTACGACTGTCATTGTTACTTACGACTGTCATTGTTACTTACGACTGTCATTGTTACTTACGACTGTCATTGTTACTTACGACTGTCATTGTTACTTACGACTGTCATTGTTACTTACGACTGTCATTGTTACTTACGACTGTCATTGTTACTTACGACTGTCATTGTTACTTACGACTGTCATTGTTACTTACGACTGTTATTGTTACTTACGACTGTTTTTGTTACTTACGACTGTCATTGTTACTTACAACTGTTATTGTTACTTACGACTGTAAATGTTACTTACGACTGTCATTGTTACTAACGACTGTCATTGTTACTTACGACTGTCATTGTTACTTACAACTGTTATTGTTACTTACGACTGTTATTGTTACTTACAACTGTTATTGTTACTTACGACTGTCAATGTTACTTACGACTGTCATTGTTACTAACGACTGTTATTGTTACTTACGACTGTCAATGTTACTTACGACTGGCATTGTTACTAACGACTGTTATTGTTACTTACGACTAACTTTCTTACTACCGCGACTGTCATTGTTACTTACGTCTATTGATACTAACAACTGTTATTGTTACTTACGACTGTTATTGTTACTAACGACTGTCATTGTTACTTACGACTGTCATTGTTACTAACGACTTACTTTCTTACTTACGACTGTTATTGTTACTTACGACTAACTTTCTTACTACCGACTGTTACATCGAATTTTACGACTGTGTCTTTGTTACTTACGACTATGATACTGAATTTTACGGCCATTACATAGAGTTTTACGTCTGCATCTTTTTTACTTACGACTATGAATTGATTTGTATCACTACGACACTGATTTGTATCACTACGACACTGATCTCTATCACTACGACACTGACTTGTATGACTTTGTTGTTGGTTTCTTACGACTATGAATTGATTTTATCACTGCAACACTGATTTGAATGACTACAACACTGATTTCTATCACTACGACACTGACTTGTATCACTACGACACTAATTTGTATCACTACGACACTAATTTGTATCACTACGACGCTGAATTGTATCACTTTGTTGTTGGTTACTTACGACTATGATACTGAATTTTACGGCCATTACATAGAGTTGTACGTCTGCATCTTTTTTACTTACGACTATGAATTGATTTTATCACTGCAACACTGATTTGTATCACTGCAACACTGATTTGAATGACTACGACACTGATTTCTATCACTACGACACTGATTTCTATCACTACGACACTGATTTGTATGACTACGACACTGATTTCTATCACTACGACACCGATTTCTATCACTACGACACTGATTTGTATGAGTTTGTTGTTGGTTACTTACGACTATGAATTTATTTTATCAGTGCAACACTGATTTGTATCACTACGACACTGAATTGTATCACTTTGTTGTTGGTTACTTCCGACTATGAATTGATTTTATCACTGCAACACTGATTTATATCACTGCAACACTGATTTGTATCACTACGACACTGATTTGTATCACTACGACACTGATTTCTATCACTTCGACACTGATTTGTATGACTTTGTTGTTTGTTACTTACGACTATGAATTGATTTTATCAGTGCAACACTGATTTGTATCACTACGACACTGATTTGTATCACTTTGTTGTTGGTTACTTACGACTATGAATTGATTTTATCAGTGCAACACTGATTTGTATCACTACGGCACTGATTTCTATCACTACGACACTGATTTATATCACTACGACACTGATTTGTATCACTACGACACTGATTTCTATCACTACGACACTGAGTTGTATCACTACGACACTGATTTATATCACTACGACACTGATTTGTTTGACTTTGTTGTTGGTTACTTACGACTATTGCAATGACCACTGTGTTTGGTGGTGATGAACACTCCGGACTCACAGGCGGTGCGGAACAGTTGGCAGTAGGTGTCGTAGGTGACCCCATCTGTACCACACACCGGTAAAGTCGACATCGGTGAACACTTCATGCGACAGTTGACACACAATGGCTGGAGAGTATTTCTGTTCACCAAACACTGATAATTTTCTGGGCACATCGTATCAGAGCACGTTGCGTTTTCTAAAAGAAAAGAAAATTGTCTTCATTTTTGGACATGTTTGAAGTGAAGAAATTGGCCTGTTCTATCCAAATGAAGTACCGTAAGCGGCGAATGATGCGGAAAGTCATGTAGAAACAGCGACTTCCGTCTACGTCCTTGTAATTGCTACCAATACTACAATATTGGTAATCTATACCATATATAACTTTATAATCTTGAAATATACATTATTTTATATTGACACACTTCGTCATATGACTTGGTCATCTACTGAACAACATTGAAAATATTAATTATGCTGTAAATCCTGTTATATCATAAGTTATACAGAATACGATGTTGTAATTGTATAAATGTGACCTCTTGTACCACACTAAAGTGTGGCTAAGTGAAATAAAAACTTGTGAAAACTTGTGATACCGTCTTATTACCTTAACGCTTAACATGGTTCAGGGAACGAATAGACAGGCTGTTGTGAGTAATGTGTCCCTCCCCCGACATAATCGGATTTCCTTTTGTGCTCTGCTTAGCAGATACAAAAACTGAATATGTTCTATTCCAATGCGCGTGTGTCGTCAGAGGCGAAAATGTGGAGTCCCATGCGAAACGCAGGTTTTTTCTTCTGTGCCGCCTACTAATATTAGAGAGGTTATACTTGATCTGCTGTCCCTATTAAAACACTTACACCTTTTATCTTTTCTTCACTCTATGTAACTGCACGTTTTCATTCTTTTCGCCGGTGTCTTCCTGGACACCCGTCGTCATACGACCTTGACTGTTTCGAGTACGCTAACCAACATGACCTATCATTATAATGACATTGACACATTTCGTCGTATGATATTGACATATATGACCATTTGACATTAAACATACGGTCGTATGACTTTGAGATGTATCGGCAAATGGCATTAACCCCTTCGTCATATGATTTATGAAAAAGTGTTTTGTGTGTATAAATACAATGTACCAGGATTCGATCCCCGGATCAATGTACTATCGCACTACCAAACTGAGCAACCTATAGTCAACTATAGTACCCTGGCCAGCTCGCGCTACAGTTACGTCATAAACAAAATAAAGGGAAGATTATACTGTATGTACGATTACCTACAGTGGAATTCTTCTAACATACTTTGTCTGCAGTAAGACCGGAAACCTTCGTCTACAGAACAAATACTAGAAGTCGTGTATGGTCGTCATTCTCATATTGACTCGTTACTATTAGTACTCGAGACAGTGGTACTCTAGACCGCTGTGCCGATAGGAGAGATATTGTTTAACTCTTGAGACACGGGCAATGGCGGGCAATGTAGGAGATGAAAGACATTTCGTAATGGTTTGTCCCCTCTACGACGATATCAGATATAAAAAAAATAATAGATAATCAGAATATATTGATTACTATTCTGAGTTATCGTAGGAGTTAAGAACACATCTTAAAGGTATTTGATTTCTGCTCTGCAGTTCCATGTTTGAACTGAAGTTCCTGATGTGTCAGAGTGGCATATTTTAATAGTTTTCATATGATATGTGAACAACTACATTTTAGTAAAAGAATGGCGTAGAAACAACTGCATACTAACATGTAATTGCCTAGTGAAAACAATTAAATGAAATGCGCCAGGTTATTGAAATATGTATATTTTTATAGGAATGTGGGTTTTATTAAACCTACATCAGTCTCGTACGAAAAGGGTTTATACACAACAAATAATTGCTGTACTAATTAGGGGTGTACCATGGTTGAATTGACAGTTCCGAGTTCTACCTATAGTGGTGCTACTTAGATTATTAATGGACATCGGCTACAACTATCTTCCGTTAACTAAAGTGTCCGGATTGTGGAGGTTACATAGTCTAAGCGCCTCACCTCGACATCTGCCTCCATAGGCGATACGTATTGACGTCTGGTGGACGCATATGGCCGCCCGCACGTGACAGACGCTCGGGTACGATACTTGGTCATCTCCACACACGAAGTTAGGATTGGTGACCACTGGACAAACTGACCGACATCGCACACAATGGGGAAGTCCATTCTGGTCCTCGAGGCACTGAGTCCCGGCTAAACACTTCACCTTCTTACACGCCCCTATCAACAGAAAACAGGGGGGATGCATTGTTTAATTTACAAGATATGCTATATTACGTTATGATATGTTATAAACGACCGTGATAAAGTACTTTTTTAAAAACTTTCCCTAACACTGTAATCGAGGATTATTTGATACGATTGTTATTCATTTCAAATTTACTTATTTTTTTAAAAACAAACAAATTCTTTATGATAGCGTTGTTTATCTCTTCATTATGTGCAGCGCGTGACGTCAACTGTTCCTCTGTTGCTGTTCTAGCTACTGACCTGGCCTTACCTATGACAAGGGGAAACTTTGAATTGATGGGAAAAGTATCAATCTCAATAACATTTTCATTAAAAAAAACCCGAAAAGATAAATAATAAACTGCATCAATATGGCAGACCTACTGGTATAACTGTCACATATGTGTCGTGTCGCAGACTGTATGACCCTTTTTGTGTTGGGACTTCAGACTACCTTGTGAACATGTATGGCCCTTTTTGTTTCGGGACTTCAGACTACCTTGTGGACCTGTATGACCCTTTTTGTGTTGGGACTTCAGACTACCTTGTGAACATGTATGGCCCTTTTTGTTTTGGGACTTCAGACTACCTTGTGGACCTGTATGACCATTTTTGTGTTGGGACTTCAGACTACTTTGTGGACATGTATGGCCCTTTTTGTTTTGGGACTTCAGACTACCTTGTTGAACTGTATGACTCTTTTTGATTGGGCGATAAGACTACCTTGTGGACCTGTATGACCGTTTTTGTGTTTGGGCGTTAAGACAACCTTGTGGACCTGTATGGCCTTATTGTGTTGAGACGTTAAGACTATCGTGTTGACCTGTATGACCTTATTGTGTTGATTGGACGTTAAGACTATCGTGTGGACCTGTATGTCCTTATTGTGCTGATTGGTCGTTAAGACTATCGTTTGGACCTGTATGACCTTATTGTGTTGATTGGTCGTTTAGACTGTCGTGTTGACCTGTATGACCTTATTGTGTTGATTGGTCGTTTAGACTGTCGTGTTGACCTGTATGACCTTATTGTGTTGATTGGACGTTAAGACTATCGTGTGGACCTGTATGTCCTTATTGTGCTGATTGGTCGTTAAGACTATCGTGTGAACCTGTATGACCTTATTTTGCTGATTGGTCGTTAAGACTATCGTGTTGACCTGTGTGACCTTATTGTGCTGATTGGTCGTTAAGACTATCTTGTGGACCTGTATTACCTTATTATGTTGATTGGTCGTTAAGACTATCGTTTGGACCTGTATGACCTTATTGTGTTGATTGGTCGTTATGACTATCGTTTGCACCTGTATGACCTTATTGTGTTGATTGGTCGTTATGACTATCGTTTGCACCTGTATGACCTTATTGTGTTGATTGGTCGTTAAAACTATCGTGTGGACCTGTATGGCCTTATTGTGCTGATTGGTCGTTATGACTATCGTTTGGACCTGTATGACCTTATTGTGTTGATTGGTCGTTATGACTATCGTTTGGACCTGTATGACCTCATTATATTGATTGGTCGTTAAGACTATCGTGTTGACCTGTGTGACCTTATTGTGCTGATTGGTCGTTAAGACTATCTTGTGGACCTGTATGACCTTATTGTGTTGATTGGACGTTAAGACTATCGTGTGGACCTGTATGTCCTTATTGTGCTGATTGGTCGTTAAGACTATCGTTGGGACCTGTATGACCTTATTGTGTTGATTGGTCGTTATGACTATCGTTTGCACCTGTATGACCTTATTGTGTTGATTGGTCGTTAAGCCTATCGTGTTGACCTGTATGACCTTATTGTGTTGATTGGACGTTAAGACTATCGTGTGGACCTGTATGTCCTTATTGTGCTGATTGGTCGTTAAGACTATCGTGGTGACCTGTATGACCTTACTGATTGGTCGTTATGACTATCGTGTGGACTTGTATGACCTTATTGTGTTGATTGGTCGTTAAGCCTATCGTGTTGACCTGTATGACCTTATTGTGTTCATTGGTCGTTAAAACTATCGTGTGGACCTGTATGACCTTATTGTGCTGATTGGTCGCTAAGACTATCTTGCGGCCCTGTATTACCTTATTATGTTGATTGGTCGTTAAGACTATCGTTTGGACCTGTATGACCTTATTGTGTTGATTGGTCGTTTAGACTGTCGTGTTGACCTGTATGACCTTATTGTGTTGATTGGACGTTAAGACTATCGTGTGGACCTGTATGTCCTTATTGTGCTGATTGGTCGTTAAGACTATCGTGTGGACCTGTATGACCTTATTGTGCTGATTGGTCGTTATGACTATCGTGTGGACTTGTATGACCTTATTGTGTTGATTGGTCGTTATGACTATCGTTTGGACCTGTATGACCTTATTGTGTTGATTGGTCGTTATGACTATCGTTTGCACCTGTATGACCTTATTGTGTTGATTGGTCGTTTAGACTGTCGTGTTGACCTGTATGACCTTATTGTGTTGATTGGTCGTTAAAACTATCGTGTGGATCTGTATGACCTTATTGTGCTGATTGGTCGTTAAGACTATCGTGTGGACCTGTATGACTTTAATTTGGTTGATTGGTCGTTAAAACTATCGTGTGGATCTGTATGACCTTATTGTGCTGATTGGACGTTGAGACTATCGTGTTGACCTGTATGACCTGATTATGTTGATTGGTCGTTAAGACTATCGTGTGGCCCTGTTGACCTTACTGTGCTGATTGGTCGTTAAGACTATCGTGTGGCCCTGTATGACCTTATTGTGTTGATTGGTCGTTTAGACTGTCGTGTTGACCTGTATGACCTTATTGTGTTGATTGGTCGTTTAGACTGTCGTGCTGACCTGTATGACCTTATTGTGTTGATTGGTCGTTTAGACTGTCGTGTTGACCTGTATGACCTTATTGTGTTGATTGGTCGTTAAGACTATCTTGTTGACCTGTATGACCTTATTGTGTTGATTGGTCGTTAAAACTATCGTTTGGACCTGTATGACCTTATTGTGCTCATTGGTCGTTAAAACTATCCCGTGGACCTGTATGACCTTATTGTGTTGATTGGTCGTGGAGACTATCGTGTGAACCTGTATGACGTTATTGTGCTGATTGGTCGTTAAGACTATCCTGTGGCCCTGTATGACCTTATTGTGGTGATTGGTCGTTAAGACTATCGTGGTGCCCTGTATGCCCTTATTGTGTTGATTGGTCGTTAACTCTATCGTTTTGACCTGTATGACCTTATTGTGCTCATTGGTTGTTAAAACTATCCCGTGGACCTGTATGGCCTTATTGTGTTGATTGGTCGTTTAGACTTTCGTGTTGACCTGTATGAACTTATTGTGTTGATTGGTCGTTAAGACTATCCTGTGGCCCTGTATGACCTTATTGTGCTGATTTGATTGGTCGTTAAGACTATCGTGGTGCCCTGTATGCCCTTATTGTGTTGATTGGTCGTTAAATCTATCGTTTGGACCTGTATGACCTTATTGTGCTTGTGCTGATTGGTCGTTAAGACTATCCTGTGGCCCTGTATGACCTTATTGTGCTCATTGGTCGTTAAAACTATCCCGTGGACCTGTATGGCCTTATTGTGTTGATTGGTCGTTAAATCTATCGTTTGGACCTGTATGACCTTATTGTGCTTGTGCTGATTGGTCGTTAAGACTATCGTGGTGACCTGTATGACCTTATTGTGTTGATTGGACGTTAAGACTATCGTGTGGCCCTGTATGACCTTATTGGGTTGATTGGTCGTGAAGACTATCGTATGAACCTGTATGACCTTATTGTGTTGACTGGTCGTTAAGACTATCGTGTGAACCTGTATGTCCTTATTGTGTTGATTGGTCGTTAAGACTATCCTGTGGCCCTGTATGACCTTATTGTGCTGATTGGCCGTTAAGACTATCGTGTGGCCCTGTATGACCTCATTGTGTTGATTGGTCGTTAAGACTATCGTCTGGACCTTTATGACCTTATTGTGTTGATTGGTCGTTTAGACTTTCGTGTTGACCTGTATGAACTTATTGTGTTGATTGGTCGTTAAGACTATCGTATGGACCTGTATGACCTTATTGTGTTGATTTGTCGTTAAGACTATCGTGTGGACCTGTTTGACCTTATTGTGTTGATTGGGCGTTAAGACTATCGTGTGAACCTGTATGACCTTTTTGTGCTGATTCGTCGTTAAGACTATCGTGTTGACCTGTATGACCTTATTGTGTTGATTTGTCGTTAAGACTATCGTGTGGACCTGTTTGACCTTATTGTGTTGATTGGGCGTTAAGACTATCGTGTGAACCTGTATGTCCTTATTGTGTTGATTGGTCGTGAAGACTATCTTGTGAACCTGTATGACCTTATTGTGCTGATTTGATTGGTCGTTAAGACTATCGTGGTGACCTGTATGACCTTATTGTGTTGATTGGACGTTAAGACTATCGTGTGGCCCTGTTGACCTTTTTGTGCTGATTGGTCGTTAAGACTATCTTGTTGACCTGTATGACCTTATTGTGTTGATTGGTCGTGAAGACTATCGTGTGAACCTGTATGACCTTAGTTTGGCCTTATTGTATCGGGACGTTCTGCCAACTGTATGGAACTGTGTGACATTTTGTGTGTGTTGGGATATCATGACTGTATAGCACATATATATCACTTAGATGCTTTTTATGACAGTGGCTTGTTTAGCATCGGGTTTTATATCCAGTTCGCAAATTTTATTTGTAAACTCCAATATTATGTTTGATGTCCAACGTTGGGGATATCGAAACATAACTGAGCAAACATATTCTACTTCATGCAATGAAGACATTCGCAAACTCACGTTTACACTTGCCGAAGTAGGCAACATTTGTCCGTTGGTTCTTCCTGCAGTTTCTTTTGAGCATGTGACAATAATTCTTGTAGTTGACACTATCGGTACCGCACAAAGCACCGCGTTTCCGCAACTCGCCCGTACACCGGGGCCGACACACACACTTAGGTACGCCCTTCCGCATCCGGCACACTCGTCCCGGAGCACATCGGATGTTGGCACAACTATCTAGGATGAAGGACGAAAAAATGAGACGGTTCCAAATATAGATATCATCTTACTTCTTTCTGACACAAGATATGAAACATTTACCTATAAACAAACATGAACATATGACCTGCTGTGAAATTATATGTATAAGACGCGTCTATTTAGAATCGGAACAATCCTAACGCATCATCATTTGAAGCGACTAATGTGGGGCCCTTCTATAATCAGATGATTGTTCATGTCTATTGATGTTCATGTACATTTTTCAGATTGTGAAATTCTCGTGGTCACAAAATGTTTGATGATAACGCCCACATCCCCTAACTTACTATGACAACGGTGACAATTGGAAATGTCCCTCATCAGGGCCCTCCAGTAAAACACCTGTCCGTTGGTGAGGAATTCGGAGGGGGACCAGCCAAGGGAGGGAGAGAAAGTCCGGCGACAGCAGTCCTCCTGGGTGATGTTGGCTCTGTACAGGGTACTACACGTATTGGACGGCGAGATGTTGGCCCAACAAAGCCCCCCTGTAATAATAACGAATGGCATGAAAAAGTGGCCGACAAATACATACACTGAGTATAGCGGTCAACACAAGTCACTTTAAATTACACTCTGAGTATAGCGGTCATCACAAGTCACCTGAATAGTATAATATACACACTGAGTATAGCGGTCAACACAAGTCACCTACATAGTATATTATACACACTGAGTATAGCGGTCAACACAGGTCACATGTATAATGTAATATACACACTGAGTATAGCGGTCAACACAAGTCACATGTATAGTGTAATATACACACTGAGTATACCGGTCAACACAGGTCACATGTATAGTGTAATGTACATACTGAGTATAGCGGTCAGCATAAGTCACCTGTATAGTGGAATGTGCACACTGAGTATAGCGGTCAACACATGTCACCTGTATAGTGTAATATACACACTGAGTATAGCGGTCAACACAGGTCACCTGCATAGTGTAATATACACACTGGGTATAGCGGTCAATACAAGTCACCTGTATAGTGTAATATACACACTGAGTATAGCGGTCAACATAACTCACCTGTATAGTGTAATATACACACTGATTATAGCGGTCAGCATAAGTCACCTGCATAGTGTAATATACACACTGAGTATAGCGGTCAACACAGGTCACCTGCATAGTGTAATATACACACTGATTATAGCGGTCAACTCAGGTCACATGTATAGTGTAATATACACACTGAGTATAGCGGTCAACACAGGTCACATGTATATTGTAATATACACACTGAGTATAGCGGTCAACACAAGTCACCTGTATAGTGTAATATACACACTGAGTATAGCGGTCAGCATAAGTCACCTGTTATATAAACAACGTAAAGCGGTCAACACTGACTTACTGTAATAAGCGGTCAACACAGACCACCTGTAATATATACACTAAGTAAAGCGGTCAACACTGACTACATGTAATATATACACTGTGTATAACGGTCAACACAGGGAAGTTGTAATATACACACTAGGTATAACGGGCAACACAGGGAACTTGTAATATACACCCTAGGTGAAGCGGTCAACACAGGGAACTTGTAATATACACACTAGGTATAACGGTCAACACAGGCAATCTGCACTGGAAGCACTAAGAATAGCGATCTACACACCCACATAACAATGTAATGGAACTTTGACACACCCACATAACAATGTAATGGAACTTTGACACACCCACATAACAATGTAATGGAACTTTGACACACCCACATCACAATGTAATGAAACTTTGACACACCCACATCACAATGTAATGGAACTTTGACCCGCCCACATCACAATGTAATGGAACTTTGACGCACCCACATAACAATGTGTTGGAACTTTGACACACCAACATCACAATGTAATGGAACCTTGACACTCCCACATCACAATGTAGTGGAACTTTGACACGCCCACATAACAATGTAATGGACCTTTGACACACCCACATAACAATGTAATGGACCTTTGACACACCCACATCACAATGTAATGGAACTTTGACACGCCCACATCACAATGTAGACAATAATTTAACATAATTTATATTGCAACATTTAGTACAGTTGATGGTATATGCACGTGCTTGCTAGCTTGGTGGATCGTTTATTTTGATAGGCCCTAATATACTTTCTATGAGATGCCATGATCAGTATTAACAATTCAAAATGTCAAACGTATATTTTATATAGGTTTACTAATTGTTTTAATTTACATCTCACCTTAGCTTTGTTTATGTTACCATAATGTCGCTATTCATCACTGTAAACCATCGACACCCATTATGTGGTTTTAAAGGTTAACTTTCAAGCCTAATTAATTTGTGTAAACATACAGGTCAAACGTGTCTTTATTTGTGATGTAACGGTTATCTTGATTATTTATATCAGGCTGTAGTGTGTCTAGATCAATCGGAATTCACTCGTTATGACATTAACATCGAGAGCACGAAAAACGGCGTCGCTCTATATATAGGACACGGTCATTTATCATTGCTGTTTGGTACGCAGGATTCAGACGTTTGGTAATAAAGAAATCACAAATTCTGCGTTCAATTGAGCAGATACTTTCTTTATTAGGATTGTTTTCTGTAAAATTTTCGTTTGAAGTCAAATGTTGAGGATATATCCTTTCAGTTCAAAGAAGTAAAAAAAAAATAAAGATGGACAAAGATATCACTAGACTGGTCAGATACATGAATAACTGTGAAGATGTGTGTAGAATTGTCAGTTAAAGGTAGAATTGTCAGTTAAAGGTAGAATTGTCAGGTAAAGGTAGAATTGTCAGTTAAAGGTAAAATTGTCAGTTAGTCAGTAGGTAGAATTGTCAGTTAAAGGTAGAATCGTCAGTTAAAGGTAGAAATGTCAGTTAAAGGTAGAATTGTCAGTTAAGGATAGAATTGTCAGATTTGGGTAGAATTGTCAGATGTGGGTAGAATCGTCAGATGTGGGTAGAATTGTCAGTTACAGGTAGAATTGTCAGTAAAAGGTAGAATTGTCAGTTAAAGGTAGAATCGTCAGTTAAAGGTAGAAATGTCAGTTAAAGGTAGAATTGTCAGTTAAGGGTAGAATTGTTAGTAGGTAGAATTGTCAGTTAAAGGTAGAATCGTCAGATGTGGGTAGAATTGTCAGTTAAGGGTAGAATTGGGAGTTAAAGGTAGAATTGTCAGTTAAATGTAGAATTGTCAGTTAAAGGTAGAATTGTTAGTTACCGGTAGAATTGTCAGATGTGGGTAGAATTGGCAGATGTGGGTAGAATTGTCAGTTACAGGTAGAATTGTCAGTTAAAGGTAAAATTGTCAGTTAAAGGTTGAATTGTCTGTTAAAGGTTGAATTGTCAGATTTGGGTAGAATTGTCAGATGTGGGTAGAATCGTCAGATGTGGGTAGAATTGTCAGTTAAGGGTAGAATTGGGAGTTAAAGGTAGAATTGTCAGTTAAATGTAGAATTGTCAGATGTAGGTAGAATTGTCAGTTACAGGTAGAATTGTCAGTAAAAGGTAGAATTGTCAGTTAAAGGTAGAAATGTCAGTTACAGGTAGAATTGTCAGATGTGTGTAGAATTGTCAGTTAGGGGTAGAATTGTCAGTTAAAGGTAGAATTGTTAGTTACCGGTAGAATTGTCAGATGTGGGTAGAATTGTCAGATATGGGTAGAATTGTCAGTTAAATGTAGAATTGTCAGATGTAGGTAGAATTGTCAGTAGGTAGAATTGTCAGTTAAAGGTAGAATTGTCAATTACAGGTAGAATTGTCAGATGTGGGTAGAATTGTAAGTTACAGGTAGAATTGTCAGTTAAAGGTAGAATTGTTAGTTAAAGGTAGAATTGTCAGTTACAGGTAGAATTGTCAGTAAAAGGTAGAATTGTCAGTTAAAGGTAGAAATGTCCGTTACAGGTAGAATTGTCAGATGTGGGGAGAATTGTCAGTTACAGGTAGAATTGTCAGTAAAAGGTAGAATTGTCAGTTAAAGGTAGAAATGTCAGTTAAAGGTAGAATTGTCAGTTAAGGGTAGAATTGGGAGTTAAAGGTAGAATTGTCAGTTAAATGTAGAATTGTCAGTTAAAGGTAGAATTGTCAATTACAGGTAGAATTGTCAGATGTGGGTAGAATTGTGAGATGTGGGTAGAATTGTCAGTAGGTAGAATTGTCAGTTAAAGGTAGAATTGTCAGATGTGGGTAGAATTGGCAGATGTGGGTAGAATTGTCAGTTACAGGTAGAATTGTCAGTTAAAGGTAGAATTGTCAGTTAAAGGTAAAATTGTCAGTTAAAGGTAGAATTGTCTGTTAAAGGTTGAATTGTCAGATTTGGGTAGAATTGTCAGATGTGGGTAGAATTGTCAGATGTGGGTAGAATTGTCAGTTACAGGTAGAATTGTCAGTTAAAGGTAGAATTGTCAGTTAAAGGTAGAATTGTCAGATGTGGGGAGAATTGTCAGTTAAAGGTAGAATTGTCAGTTACCGGTAGAATTGTCAGATGTGGGTAGAATTGTCAGTAGGTAGAATTGTCAGTTACAGGTAGAATTGTCAGTTAAAGGTAAAATTGTCAGTTACAGGTAGAATTGTCAGTTAAAGGTAGAATTGTCAGATGCGGGGAGAATTGTCAGTTAAAGGTAGAATTGTCAATTACAGGTAGAATTGTCAGATGTGGGTAGAATTGTCAGATATGGGTAGGATTGTCAGTTAAATGTAGAATTGTCAGTTAAAGGTAAAATTGTCAGTTACAGGTAGAATTGTCAGTTAAAGGTAAAATTGTCAGTTACAGGTAGAATTGTCAGTTAAAGGTAGAATTGTCAGTTAAAGGTAAAATTGTCAGTTAAAGGTTGAATTGTCAGATGTGGTAGAATTGTCAGATGTGGGTAGAATTGTCAGATATGGGTAGAATTGTCAGTTAAATGTAGAATTGTCAGTTAAAGGTAGAATTGTCAGTTGTGGGTAGAATTGTCAGATGTGGGTAGAATCGTCAGTTAAAGGTAGAATTGTCAGTTAAGGGTAGAATTGTAGTTAAAGGTAGAATTTGTCAGTTAAACGTAGAATTGTTAGTTAAAGGTAGAATTGTCAGTTGTGGGTAGAATTGTCAGATGTGGGTAGAATCGTCAGTTAAAGGTAGAATTGTCAGTTAAAGGTAGAATTGTCAGTTGAATTGTCAGATGTGTGTAGAATGGTCAGTTAAGGGTAGAATTGTTAGTAGTTAGAATTGTCAGATGTGGGTAGAATTGTCAGATGTGGGTAGAATTGTCAGTAGGTAGAATTGTCAGTTAAAGGTAGAATCGTCAGTTAAAGGTAGAAATGTCAGTTAAAGGTAGAATTGTCAGTTAAAGGTAAAATTGTCAGTTAAAGGTAGAATTGTCAGATGTGGGTAGAATTGTCAGATATGGGTAGAATTGTCAGTTAAATGTAGAATTGTTAGTTAAAGGTAGAATTGTCAGTTAAAGGTAAAATTTTCAGTTAAAGGTAGAATTGTCAGATGTGGGTAGAATTGTCAG